GTCTCCTCTTCTTTCAGTTTCTGAAGGAGGAATCGCTGCCAGGAAGAAATACCATCTTATCTCTGTTTCCCAGCTCCCAACTTTCTTCTATCATTTTCTCATATTCAACTGAAAAGAAAGAGGGAATTTACAGCTATATAATACTTTTCTGCACTGAAGGTATTTGATTTTTCCTTGATTACTTTCCCCTGAATTAAAAAGGAATTAAAAGGGTTCTTATTTATAGAAGAAGAGCATATCATTCTCTTCCCATCTCTTACTTAAAACTTTTACCTTGGTGCATGTCCTCTCCTTGTCTTCCACTTGACCTAGTGGTTGGTTATGTGTCCATAGAGATGTGTTAGGTTGTTGGTTGGGGATCCAGAAGCTGCATTGCTGATTTCCTCTGGCCAAGGAGGAGAGCGAGGACTGGGAATGGGTATGGGAAGTGGAGAAGAGGTCTCTGGGACACCGCGGACACCGCTGCTTCATTTCTTAAAAGTAAAGACCAGACGCACACGTGACAGATCATGAATATTGGTTCATCTTGGGAGTGGGAATGGGTGTTTATGATATCATTTGTACTCCTTATTTATTTATTTATTTTAAAGGCAAATTTAATTATTTATTTATTTAAATGTTTATTTAGTTGTAGATGGACACACAGGATCTTCATTTATTTTTATGTGATGCTGAGGATTGAACCCAGTGCCTCACACGTAGGAGGCAAACACTTTACCACTGAGCTACAGCCTCAGCCCCCTGTATACTCTTTATTTTAAAAACAATTTTTCAAATTCAGAAGTATATGTAGATGGTAGATATTGTGTGATTTTAATAGAGAGGAGGCTGATGACTTGGTCTTCTGTCACCTATGAATGAATCATTTTCCATGATGAAATGATTCTCTGCAATTCCAACTGAACTTTCAGGTGTGTAAACCACACACTTCCCGAGCCATGCCCACCTTGGTATGGGTTCGAATAACAATGGTATGAACAGTATTTCACAATATCTGTTTTCGATTTCCTTGAACAAACTTCAGCCCTCTCAGGTTTGGCAAACTAGCCTGATGATCTTTAAGATAATGTCTGTGCCGTAGGAACTTCAACATCTCCTCTCCCGGTGGTGACAATAATGACTTTGATTATTGCAGATGCACACAGCTGCCAGTGTCCGTGTTCAAGTCACTGATTGCCGTATGCTTGGTGCTAAGGACATTGAAGCCATGCATGGTGACAAGGTGCTCAATGCAGTGGAGACCACCACCTGGCCACTACTGGCACCAGGTTGCTGATGCTTTACAGTCTAAAGGTCCCAGGGAGGATCAGAAGAGGAAGCATTGTGGCTCCTATTGGCGCAACCTGCTGTAGGTGTGGGCTGGAAGAGCGTCTGAGTGACAGCTACACGCCACCCTCTCTTGGCCTTCTCCTTCCTTCCAGGCCAAGGCCATTGATGCTTTCTAGGATGCGTTCTTTCCTGGGAAGAGCCTTCAACATTGTGGTAACTTGTTCGGGGTGAGTCTGTTCCACTAGTCCTTTTCAATGTCCAGATACACTGAATTTGAGGTGAGCACAATTTAGATTCCAGCTGGGGCCCTGTTACAAGTTCTAAAGCATTT